ATCCATAGCTTTAATGTCACCTTCTTCAGAGGAAAAAGAATCCTGCACTACAGCAATTTCCAAAGTGGTGGTGGACAAATGATGGTTAAACATGCCCTTAATTTTAATCTGCTGATTGGGTCTTATCAAAGGACATGTAATTCCTATCCTGGAATTTATTTTTGTGGACAATGTTCACACTTGTGTTTTAAAAGATAAACATACATACTATGTGTTAACATGCTTTTCTGTGAAAATACTGATTTTTTAATTGGTCAGTGGGGATATTAAAAACTCTGACTTCATTTGGACTGTGTAGAACCTTCATACATTCCAGGAGTCTTCCATCAAGGTAACTATCATTTTAAAGACAATGTTACCTAGTGGGATAAGGATGAAGCTCGCTGCCAAGAGACCTGAGCTCTATTCTCAAAACTTCCATCTACTTTGTATGGCCTTGGGAAAGGATGTCTCAGATTCCTAATTTGTAAAAAGGGGATAACAACACTTACATATTGCACAAGGGAATGCTATAAAGATTAACATTTGTAAAACAAAGTGAATAGGTAAACCTCTCTATAACTGCTATCATTTTAATATGCAGACTATCCAGTGATAGAGCCCTATAAATACATTCTGTAGATACGGGTGGGGAACCTTTTTTGGGTTGGGGGCTGCTGACCCACAGAAAAATCAGTTGGGAGCTGGGTGCTGTGGGGGGCTAGAGTGCCAGCACAGGCTCCCTAATGCTGGGGGAGGCCCTTAGCCTTGGGGGCCACATCCAGGCAACCCAGGTGCAGCATCCAGCCCCCTAGCCTTAGGCTCCCCAACCCTGCTGTAGATCATAGGTCCACAAACTTTTCACAATATTAACTACATCTTGACAGATTGTCTGAGGATCACCTCTTCCCTCAGTTGTAACTACACTGCCACACATCCATCTTACCAGTTGCATCTTATTATACTATTGCAACTACAGTTTTTTAAACAGAACAAGGGCTTTCTCCGTTTTGAAAATGTTAATTATATTGTCGTCTTTTGCTCTTCATTTCTTCTCTCCTTCCCATCTGTTCTGTTTTTCTCAGCTTGAAACAGGAGAATCTGTACCATGTGACCAGCCAGATCTCTACAGCCCATAGGCAAAAATTACAGTCCATGGTTTGGAAAATTTTGGATAAGATAAAAAGATAGCACCACACAGTTATATAGGGTAAACTGGCAGCCTCTCTCCAAATTGCATGACATTTGTATGATGAAGTCAAGCTCTTAATGTTCATTTCACACAAACTTGTATGCAATAGAAACACAATTTATTTATAGAAAAATAGTCTGTTAAGTGAACATACTTTTATTTCAGTGTTGAACACAGCTTAGAATAATATTACAAGCACATTTCCTACAGCTTTTATGCTTCGGAGAGTGATTTTTTTTTTTTTTGTTAGAAGTACTAAAAAGGTGAAAATGTTTCCCTTTACAGATGATCACATTGTTCAGGAGATTTTACAGTATTTCTCTATTATGCAGCTTCAACCCACACTTGAACAGGGTGTTAATATTATTCAAAGTGGTGTGAAGGCCTACAGCACATCACAGTTTCAAATTGTCAGCACAAATGTATTGTAAGTGGAATACAATTTCATTTTTAAAGGAAATTGCACATTTCACACAGTTGAGTATAAATGTCAGTCTTATTTTAAAACTGAGTAAATAGTCTTAAACACATCCTAATCCTATTAGATGTAAACCCTCCATGTAAAGGTTGAATTGAGTTGGCAGACCATTGTAAGTAAACATACGTTCTGCTCCCTTAGGTATACTGTACAGAGTGGTGGATAAAAGAGCTTTGTCTTCCTATTCCTGCAAGAGAATTTCTTTCTAACACTGTTCTCTCCTCAAAGCAACGATTCTACAAATAGCCTAAGTTCCAAAAGGCAGATGCTTCATATTTGGAATCCTTAATATCTCCATTAACAAACTTCCATATTCAGAGCTGAACATGAAGCCTCTTGTGGTTCTTAATTAAACCTTTACTCACAAAATGAAAAATCCCCAAGCAAATATTTAGTATGGTGTCCAAGTAATTTCACACAGTAGGTATGTAACAATAACTGGCATTCCATACCCCATTTCTCACGGGCAATAAAAATGTATCCCCCACATCTTAGATCTATATTAGAAATGGGGCAGGGGGGCTGGGGAGGGGAACAGTGAACTGGATGCAACAAGCTGGTTTATTAGTTTGTTCAGGCTGAATGTTTTCCCATATTTTCCATTATTTTTAATATTCTGTTTTAAAATGTCATACGACAACATCTTTCCCTTCTGTGTTTGTTCTCCTTTACTTAACAAACATTCTATTGTGTTGTGTTTATGGCATGTATGGAGACAGCATGACTGCTTTTTATTTATTTCCCCATCTGCACACTACCTCATTAATGCTGTTAACAGGAGAATGCACAGCTGTGGGAACAAAGGGGGGGGGGGCTGTTTTGGACTGTGGATTTACAAATTATAATTACAATTCAAAGGACAGTCAATTCCAAATGATGATAGTTTTTGACCCTAAAAGCCCCACTCCTGTACTTCTCCTCAACTCCTCACATACCAT